ATGACATCAAGAATGCCATCCTCTCAGCTATTCGTGAATCCACAGCAATAGCCAAAGATAAAAGCAGCACTGTGTCTGGGTGGTTGGATTTGTTCTGTGATCACCTGGGGAGTAAATTGAACTTTCCACGAAAAGACTTGATAAGCATTGAACACCAGGAGATTAATGATATTGAATTTCTCAAAAAAGCCATGAGTGAAGCTTTGGATGACTTAATGACTGTAGTAGAAAAGACACGTTTCAGTATGCCTGAAGAAGACATGGTTCCTGAAATCCAGAACATGCTCTCTGAACATCTGTGTGGCTGCTGGAAACAGTGTCCCTTCTGTGGAGCAATCTGTACAAACACAATCCCTAACCATGACGGAGACCACAGTGTTCCTTTCCACCGTCCCAAAGCTGTCAATGGAGGCCAATGGGTTAACACAGACCACTTTAACATTGACTGCTGTACTAGTTTGGTAGCAAGTAATCATTCTTTTGTTTTAAATGGTCGTGACATCCCATTTAAGACCTATCGACAGGCAGGAGGGGAATTTGCCAAATGGAGCATCACCCCAGACACATCCACCCAGCCATACTGGAAATGGTTTGTCTGTCACTTCAGATCAAACCTAGAAGGGAAATATGAGAAACAATTTACAGATAAAGGTAAAATCCCAGATGCATGGACCAAGATCACAAAACAAAATGTGCTTGATGACTTGAAACAACAATAATACTCAATGCCCACAAAAGAGTACCAGAATCTAAACAAGAATCACAGTACCTGAACAATCCAGAAATACCTTCTTTTCACAATGAGAAACTTTTTATTTCCATTTTTCAAATGAGAAGGCTAAATATAAATCAATTAACATTTCAAGAATTTAAGACAAAGAAGCATCTAACAGACCTTCAAACTTCAGAGGGAAGGCAGAGGATGGTGGGGGTGGGGACTAAGAGATCAACCAAAGGACTTGTACGCATGCATGTAAGTATAACCAATGGACACAGACACTAGAGGGGTGAGGGTATGTGCTAGAGGGTGGGGTGACCAATGGGGAAAAAAAGGATACATATGTAATACTATATGTAATACTTTAAACAATAAAGAATAAAAAAGTAAATAAAGATTGTACCAGCTTTTGTAGAAGTCTAACAAATTACGAATAATTTACTAACATTTATTAAAAAGATGTTAAAGTTCATTTGATGCAAACAGATAACATTGGAAAAGCCTAAGGCAAGATGCCTTTTTATTAACTATGCAGTGTTATTTGTAGGGCTATCTGTTATTTGTAAATTTGATACACATTAAGTTTATCTTGAGCCTGGAAATCAAAGTCCTTCAGGATATAACCCCAACCTAATTTTCTGCCCTTCCCTCCTATAATTCTCTTACATGTAATCTGTATTCTGTTAAAAACTGAACTGCTTATTAAATATACCCTATAATCTTCTGCTCTTGTACCTTGAAATACATCCTTCCTTTTTCCTATACTCAGGTACTATAGTTTAGGGATAAAAATGCATTCTAGAGCCACAATGCTTATGTTTGGGAATCTGGCATTGCCACTGAAATAGTCCAAGAAATAATTTAAGAAAGACTTAAATAGAAGTTTCATTTAAAAAAATATATTGCTAAATCTTTTATTTAAGATTTGGTTATTGATAAAATAAATTTTCTAGGCCCTTTATTTTTATTTCTCTCACTCTCCTTTGCTAGGCCAATTCCATGGCAGCATATTCCAGACAAAATCTTTGATTTTCCCACATCAACCTAACCCCTTATGGCCTTCATAGATAGAGGTGGGATTGGGGGACCTCTCTTTGTACTAGTCACAATGAACTGAAGAGAAAACCAGGTCATTACCAAAACCTAGGGACTAAACAAGATGAACCAGGATAGCTCCAGACCCATGGAATTAAAGCAATATCAATAACCTGCTTGTGAGGGCTGGGGTCTTGCTTTCTATTTTATTTGCCTCCGTTCAAATAGATACAGAGGCAGAGCAGCCTCAAACAGACTGTCAAACTACAGCAGGAAGGCCGGGGAGGGTTGGGGGGCAGGAAGGGGGGGGATAAGAGATCAACCGAAGGACTTGTATGCATGCATATAAACATAACCAATGGACATAAGACACTGGGGGGTAGGGGAGGCCAGGGGATTGTCAAGGGCAGGGAAAAAAAGGAGACATATGTAATACTCTTTGTAATACTTTAAGCAATAAAACAATTTAAAAAAAATTAAGATCATAAGAGCTTAGATATTCAAAGCCTGGTATTTGTAAAAGCTTAAGAAGAACTGGCTTTTGGAACAAGGTTTATGAGCAGGTGAGAAGGGCCACTTTAATCAAGGCTGTCAATAAGGGTCAGATTTCATTATTCCATTAATAATTTTAAAAACTATTCCTTTAAGAATAAGATAGCAAAGAATATATAGTTTTTAGATTCTGATTATTTCAATAAGATATTCTTTTATATACTAAAATGTAAGGAAATGCTTATCCCCAAAATAGGCATCTTTGTGACTTCTCACACTGTGAGGCATAGGATCATGATCAGAAGACAAATAAAAAACCCTCTGATGGTAACCAGAATCTTAGAGGAGAAAGAAATCACCAGTATGCAAACCTGCACCTTCTGAAACAATGACTTATGCTGGTTCTCAAAGCTAATGACTTAAAGTAACCTTGATACAAAGAAAATGTCTTCATGTTGGACATAAGAGGTCCCATGTCTTCCCTTTACAGGCACACTCTCTATCCCTCCATAGCCAGTGGAAACAATGAACAGCAGTCAAAAACTTGCATCTTCAAAGCTGGGAGATAGAGCTGGTTCTACTTTGAATCCCCAAAGAACCTCAAGCATACTCTCAGTTTGAGGTCAAATGACCCATGTCTCCAAAAGAAATCCTTGACAGAAAAATTACAAAGGAAACTGGTGTCCTAGAACAGTATAGTTTCCCTTTTGTTCTCTGGAAAATAGTGTCAGTAAGAGTTGGAAGGACCTCCTCATATGATCATAGTCAAATGGTGACAGAAACAGAACCCTTTGCATAGCATGGTCCATGGCTCTCACAAGACTGCACGCCTAAAACTGCAATGTTCAATTAACATTTGCTAAATGCTTTTGTTATTTGTTTAATGAACCTAGAATGGCCTTTTAAGAGGTATCATGTGCCATACATGAACTTTGATTTTCAATCTAAAATTGTTGTCTATAAATAAAAATCATCTTTTGATAAATTCCTCAGACATTTAAGCAGTGTGATTATTAAATAAGATTTAGGCCAGAGCCTGTGCCTCTGAGGCAGAGTGGTCACCATATGTCTCCAAGTCATTCCTGGGTTTCCACCCATCACGTCTCAAAACCTCTGGTCACACACACTTCAGGAGATGCCCAGCTTGCCTCTGTTGTGCATGGAACCATGTGGTCTTCAGGGAAAAAAATGCTGTGTGGCACTGCCATCGAGGATTTCCCTGTAAGAATCAGCCATATACCTGGACCAGACCACTGTGATGGGGGCACAAAGTGGTGAGCAGGGCCTTTGTAAAAGCCCTGAAGCCAATGTTAGCAGCCAGCTGGGCAGCAGCTGATGCCCTAGGACATGCCTGACCCCAGTCTGCGGCCCCTCTAACCTCTCCAGACAGCCACCAGGATGCACCCAGATTGTCAAAGTCCTCAAGCTGAACCCTGAGGAGATCCAAAAGAACTAGAAGCACCTATTCAAGGTGAACACTAAATCTGTGGGCAGCTCCTTCATCTGCTGTCAAAAGTGGTCCCAGCAAAGGTGCACCTCCAGGAGGAGGTTACAGTCTAGGCCCAGGAGGGCAAAGAGAGAGAAGAGGCCCAAAATGTGACCACTTGGCTCCCACCCCACTCTTCCTGCCACCTCCAATTTGTAGCTAAATGTCTCTTACACACACACACACACACACACACACACACACACACACACAC